TCAAAGCCCAAGATGGAAATGATCTTATTATTGCTATTCAACAATGTCACAAATATAAAATAATAATATATTTATTGGCTTCTGTGTACAATGATATGTACACTCATGTTAACATGTATGACACTTTTATTTTTTATGAACTATGTTTTATTTATATACCAAAATATTGTTAAAAACAAGTACTCTGGCGTTTTAAAGTATTGCCTGTTACTTTCGTTCACAATTTTGCTTTAAATAAAAATGTACTGAAAAGTACTGATTTTTTTAGCATGAAAAAGTCTAAGGTACTGATTTCCCGCATAAAAAATCTGGCAACCCTTACATAAGCTAAATTTTACTTACGGAGCACCACACACTAGTACGATCAACATGCCACGCCTGTTCATAACGACACATGTCCCACATCAGTTCAACGTCCATGGACTCAAGGGAGTATTGGAAGCTGTAAAAGTTGTACAATTAAAAATGAAAATTATTTTAAACAATAAAATTTGCGTAAGCAAACTAAAAAGTATGGCGATTTTTTACACGGTAATAAATACACAGTGGTACAAAAATAAAACGGAATGCCCCAGTCGGTCTTGGTTGTACCTATAACACGGTTATTTTTCCACTCAGAAGTAGTTCCAAAAACATGAAGTCTCTAATTCGCTTTTATATAGGCGTGAAACACCTAGGAAGGAAATTTTGCATGAGGGGGTTGTTGTAAATGAAAGAAACGCTTATATGTAGCGTGCAATAAGAATTGATTTCTTTATTCGAAATTACTTTCTTTTATACAAGATTTCTTACACTAATTTACACTAATACTTACAAACTACAAATGTGCATATGTTATGCTAACTCAGCATATGTGTCATAGTTATTTTGGCAGTCGCACTGACAAACTGACGCTGACGATCTGTTAAGTTGATCGTCACGTGAGTTGGTCAGTGCGCCTGTCTTGAGTAATGCAATTGGCAAGTGTATACTGAACTGTGCCTTTGAACGTATGGTGTTGAATTCCCGCTGAGTTCATTATGACTTATGTGGGTCATGATGGCATTGACATCGTGTGCGGTCGATATTTGTAAATGCATTAGAGTGGTGTATTTACTGTAATACTACACCTTCCGCCTTAAAAAAAAATGGATCTATATAATTGCAGTCAATTCTATATATCCATTTTTAACGACTTAATGACCTACTTAAGGCTTAGTTGCGCTTACAAAATTTTAATTGCTTTTCGGCTCATATTGGCATTATTGCATGAAGTGTATGTTATGGTTTCTTGTTTTTTCTTTCTTTGTGTTTACATTTGTTTTACATCTTTTAATTTGAAGTTTACTTTAAAAAATTTTAATTAGAAGACGGCTTTACTCTTTGCGCCAGGAAGCAAACTTTATACTCCCAGATGATTCGTTTGACAACAACAAAAATACATATTTCAACCTGTGGAAAAGTATCACTATTTAGGGACTTCATCTATATTTCCTAATGGCTTAAATTAATTTTTTCAACTATGCAAAAACACCGAAAGACTAATAATTCGCTGAAAAGAGTATCTAACTCTATGTCTTATATGCAAACCTCGTTTACAAAGTTAGTAAATCGCGAAAAAAGATTTGTAAGCTATAGGCAAAAACCATTCGAATATTCAAATTTGTTGTTATTAAACTGAAAGTTATTTTCGAGATAACTAACAGCACTCGACAAAAAAAACCTCAGCATTATTATACCTTTCATGAGCATGAATGGTATTATAACTTTGGTCCGATGTTTGTAAGTACCAGAATAAGAAGAGATACACCCATTAAAATGTATACTTAAATGATCAGAACATCGAGCTGAGTCGATTTAGCCATGTCCGTCTGTCTGTCCGTCTGTTTGTATGCAATCTAGTCTCTCAGTTTTCGAGATATCCGGATGAAATTTGGTAGGTGGGTGTATTTTTATAATGTATTAATGTGTTGAAATCGGAAGAATCGGACCGCTATAACATATAGCTCCCAGATATGAAATTTTTCGTTATAACTTCTCCATTTATGCAGCTAGGAACTGAAATTTAGCAGTACTTCGACCCATCATTTAAGCTATTTAAGTAGCTAGGATCATGAAATTTTGCACTGGTGTCACTCATTATCAAAAGAATACTTTCAGCGAAAATGGCGAAGATCGGGTCACTATAACCTATAGCCTCGATACACCTGATTGTTCAGATATGAGATTTTTTTGCCATAAGTTTTCCATTTATGCAGCTAGGAACATGAAAATTCGCACCGTTTCCACTCGTTATTAACAGAATACTTACAGTGAAAATACAAAAGATCGGGTCATTATAACATATATCACCCATACAACTGAATGTTCAGTTATGAGAATTTTCGTTATAACTCCTCCATTTAAGCAGCTAGAAACATGAAATTTTGCAATACTTCCACCCATTATCAACAGAATACTTACAGTGAAAATAACAAAGATCGGGTCACTTTTACGTATAGCTCCCATACAACTGATTTTTCAGATATGCGTTTTTTTGTTATAACTAATGGGACCAACCGTACTTTTTTCGGAAGTACAGTACTTCTTTTTGAGCCGTTGTACTTCGTACTTCGAAGTACAGTCAAATGTACTTCATTGAAATATTTTTTACTACCCAAGGCACATTGAACAGGTAGTAGAGCAGCTGATGTGATTTTTTTTCAAATTATTCGGTCTGTAAAATGTAAAATATTTTTAATTTCTTCTCACAAAATATATAAATGGTCAAAATCCCTTTGTATGTGAAAACTTTTCGCATATAAAACAAGCGATTGAAAAGCAACTTCCGGGACGTTCACCTAACTTCGCAGCACAAACGCTGATGCCTGGGTCTTGCAAATGATGGATCAATGCTTCGAGAAGCAAACAAAATTTACTAAGAAAGAAAGTCGTGCCAGTTTTTTCCAAATTTAATATTAAATTTTTACTTTTTTGTATTTTACATGAAAAAAAATCAGATAATTTTTTCACAGTTTAGATAAGGGAAGCAACAACAAAATACACATAAATGTGGTTTTGCTCTAAAACCTGTTTGATATGCCTTGGTACTACCTTTTAAGTTGAGTTTTCTTTAAGTGTTTCGAAAAAATTTTAAAAGGTTAGTCATTTCAGTTAAGACAGGTACTTATGGATAAACACATGAATAACGACTTTCAATCACTTCACTTCTCTAGCCGAAAAATTTCATTATAAATGGAAACTCAATCCAGAAAAATTAAAAGGTGTTAGAGTTTAAAAATTCTGTGGCGAATCTTACTTGCTTCTGTGGATATTCAGAAACGGCAGTATTGATTACATAGTAAGCATTTTCTTATCCGGGCAAAATATTAACAATATGCTTATTAACTATCATACAGGGCTTATTTTTTGGACACGAAATTGCTCCATCTTTCAAGTGGTTTTGATTACTTACATCTCGCGAAATAGTCTCTTATTGTACTATCTTAATTTTTGAATCTAGTGAGAGTTCTCGACCTTCTCTAACACGCAAAATAAAATTGAAATAACCTCACATTTATAGAGAGTTTAAAACAGTTCGTCAGCAATGATTTTTTTAAAGTTTTTTTTTTAATTAAAACATACCAGCGGAGTCTTCAGGGTGCACAATTAGGACTCCCTGTACGGAGCGTTGATGATCCTTGGGAGGCTGCGAAAAGAGTCCCAAAGGAGCATACCCGCAAGAGAAAAGGGCATTCTCAATATACATATATGAAAAAAACTGTAACTTTAGTGATTTCGACGACTCCAATTCACCAATGATTTTGAGAAAAGGTCTCCCTAAATCCTCCGAATATAACCAGAATGGAGTGCTTTCGGAGTGCTCCTATAATTAAAAAGTATTAAAGTTTTCTTTATAATTTTTTTTTTATTGAAAAAACGCTAAATTAAAAAATGATTTACAAATTATTCAGTAAAACACATATAAAAACAGAAAAAACCTCAAATAAATAAAATAAATATTTTTTATCTGGTTTAAAATACGTCCCTTTTAGGTTTGGTACCGCTTTGCGCCCGTTCTATGAAATTCTTTGCCAGAACCAGCATATTTTTGAAAAATACATCTGAAAAGTTCTGCGAGATTTCCACTCGGCATTTAACAGCAAAAATTTGTATGACAAACTTGGGCATTAAAAAATATTCTTGTCATTACCTTAAAAAAATAGTAATTAATTTATTTCCAGATGGCACTTTTTAATTGCCTCCAATTTTTTGTCATTTCAATACCTAGTGGAAATTCGGCATTAGACAAAAGTAATTGTTTATGCATTAAATGCATTTGAAACTGGCATAACGTCAACAGTTCTTTTTGCGATGTACCTTTTCAGCAAAAATCGGAAACGAGGATCAGTTTCTTCTTGATTGAAAATTTAAATTCACAGACTAGATAACAAAAAAACACTTTACACATATTGTCGCTACCATTTAAAACTATCGAATGTGAAAAAATGCTTTTCCAATACAATACCTTGCGCATGAGTTTAGAATGATACGAAAGTTTCCAAATCGTCAAATTTCGAGTCTTCGTAGAAGCAGATTATTCTGGCTTTAACAAAGTGTCGAATCCACTCGTTTTCCTAATGACAACAAAAGTTTTTTGCTCTCCTGAAAATTATCCATTTTTACATTCGATAGTTTGACATGGTAACGACGATATATTCGGAGCGCTCCGAAGACACCCATTGGAGGGTTGCTGTGGGCGTCCTTTTTTACTCCATATTCAGAGCGCTCCACAGTTGGTGCCTATAGCAATGATTTGTTCAATGTAAAACTTTAGAAACTTTCAGTGTAAATATTTTAAAAGTGGTATAATGATTCTTAAATCTGAAATCTTTGTGCAGAGTTTCAGATCGAGCACTTTAATTTGATACATGACTGGTACGCTTAGTAGATCGCTAGAATAATATATAGCATCGATTTTTAATTATTAAAACTGATTTGTTGAATTGGTACACTGTTACCGTTTTTGTATATTTTGCTTTTATCATTTACTCATTACTTTCGTACTATTTTTGGTTTTCAGTTCCTGTACTTTTTTGAGCTATGATATAGTTGGTCACATTAGTTATAACTCCTCCATCTATGCAGCTGGGAACATGAAATTTCGCAACATTACTCATTATCAAAAACATACTTACAGTGAAAATGGCGAAGATCGGGCCGCTATAACTTATAGCCTCCATGATTGTTCAGATATTAGATTATTTGTCATAACTTCTCCATATATGCAGTTAGAAACCTGAAATTTCGCACCATTTTCACTCATTATCAACAGAAAGTTTACGGTTAAATTAGCAAAGATCGGGTCACTATAACCTATTTATTGCCTTCATACAACTGATTGTTAAGATATCGGGTTTTACTGTAAAACTCCTTTATTTGGACAGCTAAAAGCGATAAATTTCGTAAGCTGTTTTGTAAATA